GCGTGGCGGAAGCTGGTCCTTAACCCGCACTGAAGTTTGGTCGCGCTTCTTGTGGGCCCTGTCGATCGTCTTTACCCGCAAGTGTCTCAACGGCTTGTCAATCGTACGTGTGATGATCCGCATGTAAGGGAGTGTCACTGTTGCCTTGACTTCAGTTTCCGCGTTGCTGTTTCTTTCTGGGGGCCGTCGGGTCGTGTGTGAGTCGTAAGAGCCTGTGGAGCGTGAGAGAGTTGCATGCATTGGCAGCGAATGTCTCCATAAGAATTTCCTGCTCAGCTGGGAGGCTGGCATCGCCGCAGATTCTCGTTGCCCAGGTGGCGAGATGTTGCATGACGCCGTTCCTCGTCGCAGGGTGGTGGGGCGAGTCTGCGTGGAAGTGGTGGTTTGCGTGATTGGTTTCCTGTACACCGCTTGTCCTAGGCTGCCGTCGTCACTTCTGCTCTCCAAGACGACGTGGAAAGGTATTCCGTCATCACCTCTCCACCTTCATGTTGAACTTAATCTTTAAATGAGCGCTGTTGAGGAATCCTGGATGGTGTCCTGACCGTGGGGCCGTATAACGAACGTGTTGTCTTCCTAATTGGCCCACATGGCGGGTTTCAGCGTGGCATTTTACAGTGCTTCATTCTGGACTGCCTCCATGAAGAGGTTTGCATCAATTGGTGAGAGGAATGAACCCATAGTCGCACCTTCTATCTGAGCATACAAGGTGTTTCGGAACTGCTATCGTGGCTCAATGGCGAAGTCACTTGCCTTTCACCTCTCAGGTTCCTGGTTCGATTCCTGTAGAATCCCCCTAGAACCTCACGTGAAATTCGTTACGACAAAAGGAGTATTCATGCTTCACAGGGGCTAGTCCAACTCTTGTGAAGTGTCTTGAAGCCTATGCAATCCTAATTCCTTCCCAATTTTGGCCGCTGAGTAGTGACGCGCGTACAAGGAGGGGCGTACGTGGAGATGCTACTTGGCGGTCCTCTTGACAACTGACTGCGACGAGACGTAAAGGACACGACATGAAATTAATTAATGAAGAATTACTCTCGCCTTGATATTAATGGGAGATTAGTCCGAAAGTGCAAAGCGCTCAACACCCGCCGGGGCTTGAAGGCGCAACAAATTTTTAAAAAACTGGAAGAAGGTGAAAGAAAGGCAAAATTAGGCGCGATAGGATCATTCTGTAGAAAGTCTGCGAGCTTCTAGGTCGTTTCGGGTGTCGATGACTGCCTCGTCAATCGTAACCATGCCAAAGCTGACAAGGATGTCTGTACTCGTGAACCGCATGTCTTGCAGTAGAGCGATTAATTAGGCGGAGATCGTGGCGGCAAGATTCTGACCGTGCAAGCTTACGGATTCACTTATCGTTCTCCATGTTCTTGTCTTAGTAAGTCGATTCCTTCACGAATGACACGATGAGTAATAATAGTCCAAATCTGTATCTGGTTTGCTTTTGCAAATAGTTTTTATTACATGAAAGCGAAAATTTTCTTATCAATTACAACCAAAACGCTCGTTTCCGCCTGTATTCATAAATCAACTTGTATGTGAGTTAGAGCAGAGATTCCAGGATTTAAGAATACACTACTCCACATAGTTCATCATACATAGTTTTTGAGATTGAGTAAATAATAATAAAATAGAACACGCCTGCTGAAACGCAAGCTGAACAGACGTCTGGCCAGCTGGGACGTGATTATCCAATCGGGAGGTCCAATATCGAATACAAAGTTATAACAAAGCTCCGAATTAAATAACCATGTCCCAGCTGATCACTGACAACATACGTTTTAATCGGAGTAAAGTACAGAATAGCAGTTGAGGCATTGAGAGCGTAAGTGGCCCAAGAATGACCTGCCGCTAGAGCAAGATTGCCCTAACTGTATTTTGGCTACTGATGGCTATTGATGGTGTCGTTGCAGATTTCCGTCAGACCACTTGTGCTTTTAAATCCTCAATTAATTTAGAAATAATTATTTTAGAAATAATTGTGCATCTAAGAGGAAATTAATTAAGGGATGGTGGAGTTTTCACCTAGTTACAAATGTGTTATAATCATGTTTATCGAGGCGAAACGAAGCACCATTTATTTCAAATATCTGTAATTCCTATCAGTAATATTTTAACTAATGGGAAGTTTGATCAAACTGAATTCACTTATTCTGTTCTGTTATTCTGCACACAAAACACAAGATTACATGAGGCATTATTGCAATATTCTGTTTAATTCTATGTCAAGATAAGAAAATATATGTAGAATAATTACACTTATCAATAGCATTTTGTAACAAAGAATGTGAATAGTGTTCTTAGTTAAAGCGTCGACACTGACATGAAAGCATTGACTATTGGGTTCAGTTTACTTGTAACACGCTACTACCTAATGTTTGAAAACGCTGCATATTAGTTATGTTGCTGTAGTTTAATTTAATTATTCTTCAGATATAATTATTCAGGAATAATTGATATGTGTACAAGGAATTCTTTTACATAACATTTCAGTAAATTCAGAAAAATCGCCTTTATGAAATGAAAAAGGTTTGGCAACATTGCTGATAAGTCATGCTCGAACAGATAGAATCGCATTGTTTCTTGCCAGTTGCGTCTCTGCATTGAGAGATCTAATAACATGGAAAGTTGCTTGAATGTGACTGCTGGTTCTTCTAGGTTCGTGAAGGTTTGTGATTTGACTACTTTAGAAAAAGAATTGCCTCATAACTGTGTATATATCCCAAAATAGTTTTGTAATATATGTAGAGAAATAACTCGAAATCGCAAAACCGGATCCTTAATCCTGTGATAGTGTTACGAAATTAATTTCTGGTGTTAGGTTGGTAAGAACAAGAAACAGGCCCCCATATACGAGTATATGCTGTGTGTCGTGTGTAACTCTCCTGACACGCTGGTTAAAAGTTTCACAGCATATGCTCCCATGATTTGGAGGAAACCAATGGATTACACATCACGAACTGTCTGACAAAAATTGCTGACAAGCGAAGAAAAACCTACAAAATACTAATTTACCATCTGCTATAAGGCATGAATGTCACAGTGAAGAATTGTCGGCACTACTTCCCCTTGAGAATGTGACAGTGAGTAAAGATGAATGCTCTAGTGACCAACATTCAGAAGACAAAGAAGATATCCATGCTGACCCAACATTTCAAGTCTTTTGTGACTCAAATAAACCACGTTTTGTGACTTAAGGGGATTTCAACGATCTTGATCGTGAATTAAATTTGTCAAAGCCAGGTTGAGCTTCGTAACTAAAAGGATGAAATCCTCTTTCCCCCGTAGGAAAGTAAGTATTTTCCCCCGTGAGGGTTTATTTAGAATATTTCTCCAAGAAAAGTGAAATAGATTTTGTAATATCAAATTCGTTAAGGAGAATCTTCGCCATCATTTCAATGTATCTGAATGGTGCTTGTTCATATATTCTAACAAACTAGATATAAAAACAGTACTTCTCCACAGTGGGAACAAATTTTCCTTCTGTTCCGATTGTTCATGCAGTTTACTTGAAGGAGACCTATGAGAACTTTAAACTGCTCCTCACACTTTTCAAATATGAGAAATGGAATATATGTGGAGATCTCAAGATAATTACAATGCTGTTCGGCGTGCAGCTCGGGTACACAAAGAGCTGCTATTTTCTATGCGAAAGGAAAGTAGATTCAATGAAAATCACTACTAGGGAAAAACTGCATGCTCAGATTGAACATCTGCGATTAAAATGGGGTCTTGTCAAAACCTTGTTTAAATCAATGGACATGGATTCATGCATTTGCGAGAGAAGTTCCCAAGGATCAGTGAAGCAGAAGTAAAGCAAGGAATGTTTGTACAACCGCAAATTAGTAAATTAATAGCTGATGAACATTTCGTTAAGTTGAGTGATGTTGAAATAAAGGCAAAACTGTCTGTGTGTTAAAAAACCTTTTTAGGCAACTCTAAGGTAGAGAACTATCGCAATATTGTACGTGAACTATTGATATCATACCACGAATTGGATGTAGCATGTCATTTAACTATATTTTTAGAATGACCATATGAACTGCTTCCCTGATAACCTTTGTGTCATTAGTGGCGAACATGGCGAACGGTTCCACCAGGACATTTCTCAAATGGAAAAGCGTTATCCAAACAATTGAAGGACCCAATGTTGTCCGAATTCTTCAGGATCTTACGAAGAGACATTCCTAAGGGAAAGTATCGCAAGAAATCGGGAAGGAAATATTTTTTAGGAATGTTTCTTCACTTTTCTTAACACTTGTGTTATTGTACTTTTCACTGTTCACTTTTATATCTGTTGTTATTAGAGCGTGTCATTTTGCCTGATACATATAATACATAGAGAGACAGATGCATTTACAAAAACGATTATCACATTAAAAAAGGCCGATACAGAAATTCTGAAGTTAGATCTGTATTAAGAGGCAAATTATCTTCCAGAAACAGTGTGTTACAGTTGTTACAGAATAAAAACTTGATTTTGTAAACCAGTGTTAACAAATATTGTACCTAAGTGAAAATTGTTTCCACAACAATACAACTATTTTGGTGTAAAATTTAAATAATACATTTATAGTTTTGTATTTACGTTGAGAGAAAACAACAAATTAATTAAACAGTTATAAACGTAAGTAACAGAAATGTAAACATTTTGTCATGCGGGGGACAGACCCAGGAACAAACAAAAAAATTATGAATAATGAGAAGAATTACAGTAGTTTATTGAAAATATATTTATTGACAATTACTTACACATATATTAATATTTTACAATATAGTTAATGACTATATTATCTATTTAAAATTGTAATTATTCATATCTTACAAATTTTCAAACGTTTCAATTCTAGATGCTTTGAACTTTAAAATGAAATATAAAGTTGGTATTTTTCTCTAACAAAATACACTTGCCACACATCACTCAAATATGACAAAACTAAGACTATTATTGTTGATTGGGAAGATGTATGTGTTTATGGTGTATTTTTATGGGCCAGGATACGCTTGACGCCAAGAGTTGTAAAGATAGAAGAGAACGAAGACTCCAACAGCGATAGCCCTGGCTCGCAGCTCTTGCATCGGCGCGGAGAAGACGGCAGACATTGCAGCACAGGTAAAGAGGAGAGAGATATACTCTTAGAACACAAAGGATGAGGGACTTACGCGGATGTGTAAAGCTTACCGTATCATTTTCTTAAATTATTTCAAAAAGTGAAGCAAGGATAAGTAGATATTTATTCTCTATTATCAGTGCGTGATCTTTGCTGAGATCAACGAATTCAATAAAAACTGTTTAAAAAAGTGATAGATGTAGTCAGGCTTTCCCAAGTAAAATGTTCATAATTACGCAGTTTGTTTCGTGTGTGTTTCAATGGTATTTTGTGTTAGGATATTTGTACCATTGTTTCAATGAGATTGTTTAACCCTATTTACGGACATTATGGTGTTAATTTAATATTCAAATGTGAGGACTCGTTCAGAACATATAGCTTGAAATACTGAGTCTTCTTTTCATTTTCTGCCGAGTCGATTTTTCAAAAAAATTATTTCTTGAGGGCCGGGTTTCAAATGTCTCTAATTGTTTTAGTCTTAATTATGTCCTAATTTTAACACTCCATACGAATATATAACTGTAAAGTAGTTCTGAGTACTGTCTTTCCTGAGAATTATCGCACTTATGATAGGTAGCCATCGCAACGATAAGGAAAAATCTGCCTACGGACCACGATCTACCTACGTTTCAAAATCATTATTAATTTATTGTGGTTTAGGGGCACGCCAAATGCTGAGATCATTGGAGCTCATAAGTGAGGATCTAATAGGTAGACGATAGTAATATTTATGTGAATGAAGAAGGACCAATGGTGGTAGATAGGCAGTAAGTAAGAAACCCCCCCGAGAATTTACCGAGTACACGGTCTCTACCACAAATTCCACATGAATTGTCACGGGAACAATCTCGGGCTTCAGTAGAGGATGGCGCATGTTCTAGCCATTACGCCACATGCCCCCTCAAAAATCACTAAAATCGATTGAACCATCTAGGAAGGGTTCGCTAACAAACATTATTACTTTCCTCTTTATTTCTATAGACAAAATCGACGTCCTCTGCAAAAGAAAATACACGTTTCATTGATGAAATTTGTATGAACAAGTAAAAATATGTACTTGTGAAATTTTCTTTGGAATTTGTTCGTATGTCCATACTGCACATAAATTACTTCCAGGGAAATACAGTAAATACTCTCTAAATACTGTTCCCCTACCTTCATCAACGCACATGCTTATATTGCATTGAATGGTATTCATCAACTAGTGGTACTAAACAGCATATTCCTTCTCTTGTCATTAGTAACGTTTGAGTAATATTCTAATATCCTTCTAACATGTCAGACGAAACTTTAATAACGCGTAATCAAATAAAGCGCGAGAGGTTTCAAAATTAATATCTTTATTTTATTCAAAAGTTTAAATGAAATTTGATTCTTCCCAATAACTTCAGTATACGAAGGGTGTTCAAAAAATTCCCGGAGTGGTGGTTCAGCAAGATAATGTTATGGTCTATGGCAATGCTTATCATGGCCTATGGCAATGCTTATGCTTAATCACCTTCAAAGTAGGATCCTTGCGCGCACACAGACTTGCTCCATCGTTCTTGCCATTGTTGGAAGCAGCGGTAGAAAGCTTCTTTTGGAATGTGTTGGAGACGAGCCGCCGCATGCGATTTGATGTCCTCCACGGTTGCAAAACGTCTCACTTTGAGGCCCATTTACAGAGTAGGAAACAGCCAAAAGTCACTGGGGGCGAGATCTGGGGAGTTCGGGGGTTGAGGGGCTACAGGAATGTTCTTCTCGGCGAGACATTTCTGCACAACAAGCGATGTGTGGCTTGGTGCGTTACCGTAATGCAGGCACCACTGTCCTCGCCACTTGTCTCGTCGCTTCAGTCGACCCGCTTCGCGCAATCTCTGCAAAACTTGCACGTTCAAATGGCCATTAACAAACTGTTCAGGCTGTACATACTCATGTTGTACCAAACCATCGATGTCAAAAAATGCAATGAGCATCGCTTTGATTTTGGATCTGACGAGGCGTGATTATTTTGGTCTTTGAGATGATGGTGTGTGCCAGTGCGATGATTGGACTTTCCTCTCCGGATCGTAACCAAACACCCAAGTCTCATCACCAGCGACGATCTGCTGGAGAAACGTTGAGTCCTTTGCACTTGTCTCAAACAGCTTGCCAGCGATTGACACGCGAGTGTTCATTTGATCTGTGCTCTGCTGCTTTCGAACAAACTTCGCACTGACTTGTCTCATTTTCAAAACGTCGTGTAAAATGGCGTGAATTGAACCACGTGAGATGCCAACTTCTTTCTCCAACTCTGCAATTGTCGCACTGCGATAATCTCGAAAGAGTTGATCCACCTTTGCAATCATTTCCTCGTTTCGGGAGGTCGACGGTCTCCCGCTGTGCTGGTCGTCCTCTCCCTTTCTTAACCCGTCCAAATCAGTCGTAAACTGCGCTTTTCATTAGTGCATTATCTCCATAAACTTGTTGTAGGGCCAATAGCGCCTCTGAAGCCGATTTTCCTAATTTGAACAGGAACTTAAAGTTCACACGCTGCTCGAATGCGGCATTGATCCGAATCTTCGCCACTTGCTTTTACGTCACAAGGAACTGTGCCAAAAGAGCGCACTGAAACCTGGCCAGACCCAAAAACAATCATGCCACTTCTCCCTACCACAAGAGTGGGCACGCTGTGTTATCTTTCTTATCGCTAGTTCGCCGTCCACAATCCAATTTCTGGAACTTTTTTGAACGCCCCTCGTATTATTCTATATTCTTATAAAAAGTTTGAAGAAAAAACACAGGCTTGGATTCGAAACAGACCTCTGCGTATGAAAATCACACTCGATTGCCATCGCTCAAAGCGTGTGGGACTTCTATATCTGTTAAACGTGTTAAACGTTATCTGGAAATCGTTGATGTCGCGGTATTTGTTACACCATATAACTGAAAATTACGCGAAAACTACTGTTTGAGAAATTTTTCGTTATGTGATTTAAAGATCTGATGCTGTGGAATTGATTGCATTCACAAAGAAATCTGTAGTTTCAGTAGTGAAGGTGAAAAAAGTTTGAGAAACATTATTTTTGCAATTATTGAAATTACAGAGGGAATTAATGGGACTTATGCTGTGTTATTAAGCAAACTGTACTCTATTTCAGTACAGAAAGATATATTTTGGTGACGTTTTTGAAAGTATGTTTGCAATTTTTTTTAATTGTACTGATTTCACTTATAATTATGTAAAAATTCCTCACATTCCCCAAAAAATGTACTCTCTATTATTTTAAAATAACTAATTTAGAAGAACAGATTTCATTAAGGGGAAATGTCTCTGTTCATTAATATTGCAGTTGAAGGAGGACGTCTAAAAAAATAATTTAGCAATTTTGGAAAAGTCTGTAGTTTACTGAAAATCGGACCTGCGTCATTTTAGGAAGCTTCTATTAGGGCAAAGATTTGACGAAAAAAAACGGAGGCATTTTTGAGAAAACTGAAAATGACGTAGATACCTCATGAAAAGTAGTATCCACAAATCTAAAAAAATATCCGTTGCGAATTAGACAGCAGGACCGCTACATCAGATAGATCGATCTGGGAATATTTTGGTAAAATTTTTGTACGTGGTTTTAGTGCAAGTATTGTTCACAAACAGACACACAGATAGACACCTCGGGAAAACATACTTTTTTGCTATGCAGGGCCCACAAAAAGTGGATTTTTGCATTAGTATTCGAGAAAGCAATTTAATACATACGAGTATAGGTGCAAGAAAAATACACTTTTTTGTCATCAACCCCCCCCCCCTGCATAAAATGTGTTTTTCTGTAAAAACAAACGGCACTTTTTCCTTCATTATATAATTTTCTGTTACTATGTAAGAGTAAAATGAAAGTATGCAACTCATAAGAATACTCGGTTTCGAAAAGAAGATACGTGTCTTTATTGCCAATGTTTAAGAAAGAAATAGTGAAACGTCTTCACATTACTAACAATGTACAAAGTAATTTTACTAAAATGCCAAATAATGTTCCTTATTCCATGCTTATTTCAAAACGCCATGTGTTGTCAAGCGACAATATGAGGGGACGGTTAAATGAGGTATAATATTAAGGAGACAGTTGTTGATTGACGAAACATAGACGTTGCGAACAGAGAAGTTGGAATTTTTCCAAATTTAATGGCTTTCTCTTTCTTACTAACACGCTAATTCTTGAATGTTTTGGACGGAATAATACACATTAGAATATGAAAAAAAATTCATGAGAAGTCCTCTGCAGTTATTTTACTTTTTGTGCTATACTCCCATTAGTCATGACAACCACTGTCAGTATTTTTTTAATTTTTGGTTTCACTGTTTGTACATTTTCAGACATCGTAAACAACAAATTAGACTATTTTTAATTTAATTTATTTTACTTAAGACTATATCAGGTCCAGTGAATACTGTGATGAAGCAAAAAGAAAACATAGGAAAACTACTGGTAATCCACTTTTCTGTTCCAAATCCAACATAAAATTACTGTTCTTATAAAATCACAATACCAGGTATAAAGTATCCAGAGGTGGGCCATCGCGCAGCCGAAATGCTTCAACGGTCTGACCACTACACTTTCAATCTCCGTTCGAAGCGCAAAACCGGCAGCCCAAGTGTCCCAGAACATTGAAGAACTAATTGACGGGGTTCAGCTTCGATGGTAGGAAACTAACGGGGTGTGGCGTGCTACTAGGAGTGCCAGGGGCGCGGCTACCCTTCGCCTTTGACTTGCAGGAGACGCGATTCCCAATTTGCTGAATGGAAACGGGAGAAACGTAGAACGTCGACAGTGCACACAATGCGTCACTACCATGATTGATGGTGCCTACCGCAGAGTCAGCCAAACATCGAAGGAATCAAACCAAGCGTAGAGCCGATAGACGCCACGTGTAACAAATGGGGACGCAAAAGCCTTTCACTGGAGACAAATGCTGCGCAATTTAGGAGATTAGCACCTCCAGTATGAGCGCTGGAAGGTAGCCCTAAATGTTGATTAACTGAACAAATCTGTTAATTAAAATAAACGATTTTAAACAGAATTTAATTGCGACCGATGATTCGTGTTGATAAAGTAGTTATCTTTTGCAATTATTTTGTATTATAAATAACCGCAAAAGAATTTCATAATATGCATAAAAGTAATGTTTTCGAGGGATAATTACACAGAAAATCACTATTAAATGAGTACTTGTTTTTCAGGAAATCCAAACTTCACAAACAAAGTAGCAAAAAGTTAAAACACTAACATCTGCTTCAGCAAGTTGTGGAAATTTCATTTGTCTAATTACATTTGTTTAATAACCTTCACGGGAAACCATAATATAATAAATTATTATAATGACGCAGTTAACGCAGTTGATAAGTAATTAAACATTTTTGACTTTGTATTATAAAGGTTCAGTGCCAACATTCCACATTCATTATTTTACACGTTCTGCGCGTCAAAATGCATTTTATTTGTAATGGCTTCCTGAATGCAGTTATCCTTTACTTGGATTCGTTTCATCCACATTCGTTCAGTTACAAATACATTACTAGTATCAAAATTAGTGTCACACGTGCTGTGAAAGAGGCAATTGTCTCTTCCAACATTAATACATCCAAATTGCATTACGTTTTTGCGCTATCCCTGATGAAACGCCAGTATTTCCAATAGAAGGTTCTTTTGTGTAGTAACGAGTTTACAGGAATTCTCAATTACCGTATTACTCGTAAATATCTATCATGACAAAAAACATCAGCTTTTAGCAGAATTGTCTTACTTCTTCCGATTTCAGGACTTCTCTCTGACCTTTATTAATGTTATTTGATATCGTCTTAGGTACACTTTTACATCAATCACGTTTTAATAATCCGAGTAAAAGAAAATGTCACGAATAGAAGATGAAGCAAAATTCGACGTTGAAAAATGTTGGGTAAAGATAATATCTCATCACCATTAAAATACAGATTCAAAGATAAGAGTACTATCAATGAAATACTATTGAATGTTGTCTGCATACTACTATATTATCATAAATAAAAATGCCACTTCATTAACTATGTTGATGCACTTAATGGAATAATATACCCGGCGAATGTTAACAACACTGAAACAGGTTTGTTTTTAAGACTAAAACAAAGCATTAAGCTATTTTTTTGCATTATAGGAATGTATTGAAACACAAGTAGGTACGAACTGCGCAAAGTAAAGATAATATGCATAAACAGAAATTCAGAAGCTCAAGAAAACGTGCACAGATTATACTTTTTCCCCATGAAACACAATCATGTTGTTAAAGACTTTTATTTGGCAAAAATAAATCAGTCAAATTGAATATAATTATTGAAAGCAATTCATTACGGTGCACAGATAATTGACATCTTTTAAGTGTTAAAGTTACATTGCCGTCTCGGAAAAATAATTCTATGACAGAATTAACTTATATTGTTACTCATTTCAGTCAATCAACTAGTAAAAGTCACATTTTTATTTTCGTTATATTCCGTTATTGATGATCGTACGATATAGTCTTACGATCATGCAAGAGCAATGGAACTGAAACTGTCTTTTGTAATTTACGTGAAATAACTTTTGACTTCACATTTTTCTCAATCATGTTGAATTCATTTCTTTATAAATACATGCTTCTTGAGTAATTTATTTGAATTTGTGAAGACAACACTTAGTTGAAATGCGGAATTGTGATGCCATCTATGATCCATTCCTGAAACGTTCATAATTATTTCCATGGAACATCGTGCACGTACCTAATTCGTTGACTTAGCTATTTTTTATAGTAAAGTACAAAAAAATGGAGAATCTATTTAAAAAAAACGAGTTGGATTGTACAATAATTCTAGTCCCTTAACAACTAGAACAGAAAGTTAACCAATCAATAATCTTCTGGGTGTTTTCATAAAGAAGTTAGATCGTATTTGAAAATATGCTGAAGAAATCCATTTTGTCATTAACACTGTCAGTATAATTCAATGCACAATCTAGGATTCATTATGGAAAAAAAACTAGGAAGATTATCAGTGTTAACACACGCCTTACATTACGAGTATCTTCTCTGTGATACGATCGACGCGCTATCTCTGGACGGAAGCTCCAACTTTTTGCATGCCCCTAGAGAGAGGAGGAAAATTCAATTTGAGATAATAGCGACCTATTTTAATCTATTCGAGTCTGGCTGTGTCTGATACAAATTGCAAATAATTGATTTTTATCTTGTGTATAATAGTCGAGATCTACACAACGTATTTTTTCGAGTGATGATAATTACATTTCTCCTTAGATTCTGAGATAAAAGTTGATTTAGTAAGATTTTGTTTCAGGAATATATCTAAAGACGAAAATATCTTAGAGTAATCAATAAAACAAGTCTATTGTGGACATTATAATTAAACTAGTATGGCTTTCGCACCATGAGGTGTTAGCTGAGCCAATATTCTGCTAGCCGAATCAGTAATATGCAAAAGCAATATGAGTTTCGTTAAAATGTTATATCGAAAGAGTTTTATCAAATTTGTATTTTTAAAACTTTTATCTACGATGACAACAATAATTATTTTTATATTAAGTGCGTGAAATGATTGTTTCACGTTCGAGATTGGGGTTTCGTTGCGGAAGACAGTTAAAGTAATGACGGCGATAAAACAATAGACATTAAGCAAGAGAGATAATTTCGTTACGAAACATTAATAGTATTTTTTATGATCGTGCAAGAATGCTTATCTAATGAATTAAGATTTGTATCAAGGCTAGTAATTATAGTTTCATCAAAGCATACCGCCATCTCCGTATAGATTATTACATTAGAAGTCTTTAGATGGGCAGTGATTACGAACAGTTCCTATGATTATTTCACATGAACGACATGGTAGTAATGTTTCCCGTTTGTTTCAAATACCAATCGGCTGCGATCGCTCATTATCACTATTGACATTGCTCTGCAACATCGCTAACCGGGAGATCCTTAGGTTCGAGTACTGACGGAGACGTATTTTCGACTCTTGACTGCAAAGCCAGCTTGAATTCGACCACTTTTTGAAAGAGAATTTAGAGACTGGCTGCTCTAGTCGGTAGATGTTCATGGTTTCTCCGATAAATGCCAGGCGAAAGTCGGAGCAGTAACTTGGCAAACGATCACGCGCGATTTTTCCGTCCGAACTAGCCCGTAAAGTAGTCAAACTCGTTTTGTCGGAACAAATTTCACATGAGATTGTCCAGGAATCGAACCCGGACCTCCTTGGTGAACGGCAAGCGACCCTTACGCTGTGTCACGATATTACCTAAAATATGTATTAAAGGGGGTTGAAAATATATTTTTTCATATGTATAAAAATGTATTTTATAATACGTATAAGTAGCCGTGTATAATAGCCTAAATGTAAATGATAAAATATATATTATAGGGGGTTCAAAACATGTATACACTTTTTGAACTGTCATAGAATACTTATTGTTCAGCGTACAAGGTTATATTTATGGGAAAGTAAAGTGAAAGTCGAATTTGAAAAATAAGCATAGGTTTTTGTTAAAATAAATGTGCCAAATGATTAAATTAAATATTCATCAGCATCGATACATTTCTAAGTACGAGTCCGGACTGATTCCGCACGTCGCACCAAAGTGTCTCTAGAAACACACACATTATATATAGTCTTCTCGCAATGTTTCAGACGCGTCATTGGCGCCGTATCTCGCGTGGCTGCGGATAGAGCCACCTGTCGTTCTGGAGCCGGCCTTTTCGCCGCTGTGGCTGCGCTACCAAGCCGTGGTGGATTACGACCGAACCATGGTCAGGATATCTGCAGGAGCCCACCACTGCACCACGGTCGTGCACTTCGAGCAACGTCAAGGGCTACAGTGGTAAGTGAGCGCACAACCCAGGGACGCCATGGCATGCCCGTAGAGTGACAAAGCTGTAGTGCAAGATCACAAACAAAACATCATTGGAGTGTCCATCTGTAATATCAAAATGACTGCCTTTTATAACACACATCATTATTTTCCGAATATAAAAACCCATTCAATTGTTTCTAGAATTGTTGTAAGTTTGTTCGGGGTACTCTCGAGACCGGCTGAACTGATTCTGATGGAATTTTCACTTAAATGTAGATTATTTTATCGAGCATATTTTAAGTTTTGTTCAAATTATTATTTTTTATTAAATAAATAAGCATATTTGTTTGTTTGTGAACATAAATCTACATTTTTATTACAATATTAATAAAATTTTGTGACAAGCACGTGACCTTCAACGATAAGAGAAAATATAGTCATCACTTTCGTCCGATGGTAACTTACGAATGGAGGCGGTTGTGTACGAGGTTCATAAACTCACCGAACTCCCAAAAACTGAAAAATTGTGGTGCTACAATTTAGCACAGATTTTCTCGCATCATTTGTAAACAGTTACGTTAAGTTATAATTACCTTGTATTTTTTAAACAAATTTATTTATAGTCGCGCCAACAACTTGGCTATTAGGTACTATTGTATCGATATATATGTATTCTATATATAAGATATGAATATTTCAGCCATCTCTCACCACATCCATTTCCTATTACCTAAAACGCCCTCCGTGAGCAAATTTGATATCATCAATACATCACAGAATCCTTAAGTAGAACTTGTTGGCATGGTAACAATATTCAAATTTTAATTAAAATATTACTTACGTCACTTAATGCATTGAATTCTGCTTTATTGGCATAAATATTTTAAAGGAAAATTTCGAGTCGTTTTAAGAAAATCTGATTCAAAATTAAGAGAAATATAATTTGGAAAAATATGATATTATTCTAAGTTTCAATGCTGAAGAATTGATTACTTTAAGAAACAAATATTTAGCTTCAACATTAAAGGTGTTGAAGATGTTCGAAAAATAGTTGAAATACTGCAATTTTCAAAAATTAATAGATTGAATTAAAATCGAACTTTTAGCGTAATTATAACGTTACCCTATTTGCACATGATAGTAATAATGTCAGTAAAGTAGTCTTCGAGGAATTTGTACTTTAAAACCGGCCACTGGATTGTCCAAAGAAGTAAACAAGATAAGACTGCAACTTGATCGTTTCTAGTGGCACTGATAGAATGCGTAGTTAACTCGCTTTAAATTTTAAGAAAGCACTTTCCAGTCACACCCTAACTCAATCCCCCCCGCCACCGCCTCCGAGTGGTGCACCCTCCGCTCCAACGACGTTGACGCGCCTGCTGCAGGTCGATGAACACCACCATCGGCGTGGGGGAGAACAGCATCGCCATCCTGACGGTGGACGGCGCGGGCCGGGAGGTGCTGGCCAGCTACCAGCTCAGCATCAGGCGCGAGGCCCGCACGGCGCGCGAGCCAGCCTGGGACGCCGCTCAGCCGCACCAGGTGTGCGGCCTCCGACAGGTACAGTCGAGATACCTATAGATAGGGCTGATTGATCGATTAGTGTTTTCGAGCACGTGAACTGCTAAGGTAATTAGTTCTGTGGCGTCACTGAATTACAACAGTTATGGAGGGAAATGAGCTTATTCAAATTAATTTCTTGTTCTTTTTTATTGAGACATTAAAGCAGAGAAATTATGTTTCACTGAATAACTTCTTTCATTTCTCTGCAACAACGTCGTTTAGTCACTTGCAGGTAACCAGCAGGAGTCGAGAGCTAGCCGGTGCATACGATTTAAATTAGAGAGGTGAGCGTGACAGTATAGTGCAAGCTTTTTATCGCAGAATATCATGAAAGTGTAAGTGTGGGATGACGATAGAACAAGGAAGACGAAGGAAAGACCGCGCGCGGCCCGTAGTCCGTGTGTTAGGCTACTGCTCCAGCATTTGCCTGGTGCTGGTCGGAAAAACAATGGAAAACTTTCTATCAAAGCATCCGGCTGCTCGTCCAGGCAGAGGCTTTTTTCGACGTAGGTATCTAGCAGTTTTGAAAATCCTGACACCGTCGCGACCCGAAACCTGGGACCTCCCGGTCAGAGACACTGCTGTGACATCAGTTGATGTTCTGAGCCATCTAAGTTGGTTCTCTTGGAACAGCAGTCCCACTGCGCCATCCCGCGAGGCACAGAGAGTGCCATCGCGCGGCTCAGTCTCTGCAGGGGCGCGGGCCTGCAGTGACACCAGTTGATGCTCTCAGACACCTAAGATGGTATATAGATAGGACCAAGGTGACAGTTTAAAAAAAAGTTATTATCATCATTAGGACATTACACAGCAAATACCACTCTAGTCTGCTATTTGTGTCCGCTATTTGTGTCTTGGATTTGTGACCGTTAAATACTTTTTGTAATACTATCTTCTTATAGAAAAACATAAACAAGAAATAACATTTCTTGGAATGAGTGTTCTTAAATGCCAGTTTTAGCTACAATTAATTTGCTTCGATTGTTCTTAATGGACGGCGGTCAATTAAATCCTTAACGAACGCCATTAAGGGTGGCTTTTTGTTCCTCTCTTGGTTGCGTTAAGTCGATATCATAACAGTATTAAGTAATAAAGTAGTATTAAGTATTTACACTGAAGAGCTGAAAAACTGGTACACCTGCTTAATATCGTGTAGGATCCCCGCGAGCACGCAGAAGTTCCACAACATGACGGGGCATGGACTCTACTAGTGTCTGCAGTAGTGCTGGAGATAGCTGATACCATAAATCCTGCAGGGCTGCTCATAAACTCTTATGAGTACGAGTGTTGACATCTGAACAGCACGTTGCAAGGCATCCTAGATATGCTCAATAATGTTAATGTCTGGGGATTTTGGTGGCCAGTGGAAGTGTTTAAATGCAGAAGAGTGATTCTGGGGCCATTCTGTAGACACATTGGATGTGTGGGCTGTCGCATTGTCCAGTTGGAATTGCCCAAGCCCATCGGGATGCACAATGAACATGAATGGGTGCAGGTGATCAGACCGGATGCTTGGGTACGTGTTACCTGTCAGACTCGTATCTAGAGGTTTCAAGGGTCCCATATACCTCCAACTCCACACGTCTCATACTATCACTGAGCCTCCACCAGCTTCAAGAGTCTCCAATTGACATGCGGGATCCATGGATTCATGAGGTTGTCGCCATACTCGTACACAACTATCCTCTCGAAACAATGTGAAACGAGACTCGTCAGACCAGGCAACGTGTTTCCAGTCATCAACAGTCCAATGTCGGTGTTGACGGGCCCTGTTCTCCTCAGTCGTCGTCGGTCCCAGTTTTACACGATCCCGCAGCAGCAGTGCCGGAGGTGTGATGTTTAATCTTAAATCGTGATAACCTGCCATTGTTGCAGCAATAACCGATCTAACAACTGTGCCAGACTGTGGGTGTCTTATATAATCGTTGACAACCGGAGTTCCGAATTCTGATTGGTTCTAGATCTCTTTTTTTCAATTCGCATGGCTGATAAGATGAGACGTGAATTGGAGAAAATTGGCTGAACGATTTACACGCTAGCGTTGACTACAGCCTGACTGCCTTCAATAGATTTTTCGGTATCAAGGACTCACAAATTTGATTCTGTCTACACCACGTCTTAGAAGAAGTAATTTACTATATATATGAACAGAATTTATCCACTTTTTCGTTTCCAGGGACCGACAAAAAAAATTTTCCTCTCGAAAATTTGCTGTTTTCCGTCACGCGATTACAATACTTTCTATTTTTACATACGTGATGGCAAGAAAGTGAAAAATGCTCAACATTTTGTAAATATTGCACAAGCGATGCTACAACCGCACGTACTTTGTCGCACAATGTAAATAATGTTTGATTTGTAATATTGTGTATTGGAAAATAATTTAAATTGGAAAAACTTAGGACTTTATGTATTGCATTTAAAATTCTGGCATAAAATGTGTCGCAGTCTGCTACCTAAAACTTATTGGCTAAAACTGAATTCGCTGTGCATAATCTCATCTTTATCTTTGCATCATGAACGTTTCCAATTTGTATTTTACTGCGTAAAGACTTCGTAACTTGTTTACGTAACATAATTGTTTACACTCAAATGAAATGTTATGTATTTCATATCTACGCCCTCCTTATCATTCATTATCAGTCATTTTCTACACTCATTATTATTCAGTCATTCATTACATTGATTATCATTCTGCACTCATACTATTACATTCATTTTAAGTAGAATTCTGATAGTCAACCAACGATACTCAAAGTACGTGCCGGTATGACGGAAAGAGACTTTCCACCGTGCATGCTGCTCATGGTGGCTCTCTCCACAGTGGCGCTGCTATGCGTAATTAAATTTCGATAATATCGATAGAAACTAATCCAATGCAACAATGAAACAGTTGATTACGTTCGCCTCTAAAAAGAGATTAGTGCGAAGGAAAACGATTTACGAGTGTGGAATCGTAATTAATAGTGATCTGGTTTGGTGTAATCATCATTATTTCTCTAATAATGGCTGAAACGAAGCGCCCGAAATTTCGCAGACTAAATTCAAAAAGAAATAATTTGCAAAGTTCCAGAGTTGAGGAAATACATATGAACAGAGGTACATCTATTTCGTAGTATGCTGTACTTACATAGCATTAGTTACATACTAATGACGAACGTATGTAGTGGTTTATGAACGTGTGTTCACTCGCTAACGAACGATTAGCTACGAGGCTTGGGTCTTTCAATTTCGCTATAAAAAAATTTTTGCGATATATTATTTTTAGTTTCTTTCATATTATATTTTACTTATTCGAAATTATAATTATATTACCTGCAAATCAATAACAATAAATATTCTTCTAGCTAACTTTTTACAATGCATTTTATTGGTTATAAGAATTTACTACATACATATTTGAAAGCAAAATTCAATACAATGTATGTGTTTGAAAAATGTCTGCTACTTTTCAAAATTAGAGCATCATATTTACATTCAATGCAGAATATTTACATTCAATTTCCAGAAAAAATGTTCCTGTGTATGTTTATTTATTTAATTATTGTTTTAATGATATTGGTCTCTTAATTTTTACTATATCTTATAGTATGCCTTCTTGTAATCTGTGATATTTCTCCAAAGCTATGTGTTTTGGAAGGTACCATGCTCATAGTTTTTCTTTCAGATTTTATTTTATTTTTGAGAAAATATTTAGTCTATTTGCAAAACCATAAGGCAGATTCAACCTCTGAACAAATATGCAGTCTACTTTATCACATTTAAACAAGAAACTCGTTCAAACTATGTGCAAATATTTACTTTCCATTTATAAGAAAATAAGATTAAAGACATTCGTAATGCTGTCAGAAAGCCCCCCCTAAAAAGCATAGAAAAAGTATATGCAGGCAAGATAAAAAAATAGTATGGTACCAGTTTTATAATTTCTATTTTCAGGTGATTATTTGGCACCAGATCGGCCTGTACGGAGAATCATTATAAACTTCTTGGTGAAGCTTTTGTTGGTGGCAATATGGTATTATGGATTTGATTATATCAAGATGGCGTTTTACAAGGTCATGAATTGGGGATATGAATTATTAATGTACTGTGTATTAAAACAACACAATTAATTCATTTTTCAATTATTAATTATGATTAATGTGGAAGAGAAGAAGAAAATTATGATTATAAAATCATAGTGTTCATTGAAATGTAAGAAAATTATTTAATTGAAAAATTGCTCTTTATATCTCTCAAATTAGTATGTCTGTTTGAACATTATGCACAGTTACACATATTCTAGAAAATATATTTGCAAATAGCATATCACTTTCTACTTGGTTTGAAATGTGTTTCAAATGTGTTTGTACTCAATGGGGCAATTAACTTTTTTTTGCTGAGATAGGCCTTATATCTATTTAAATATATTTCTGAATTGTTGATTGTTGTGTTATATAAACTGTTGTGCATCTAAATATGTTATATTTTTTCTGTTGGTGATTCAAAAACATGTGACCGTTAATGATGACCTTTATATCAGCGTAAATTAGTTGAAGAATACATTTATATTCATGTTAAATAACATATTGGTCCCACTCTATAAAATATAGTTCTTCTTAATACTTGTGACTCAACACCCATGTTGAAATAAATGCATTGTTTTCTGTAAAATTGGTGAAATTAATCAGTGCATACCTGGTGCCATTTTATGTGACATCACTGCTCAGGAAACCCCATCATACTGATTTCTAATCCTAAACTAAACCCAAAATAAAACACTAAAAAGTGGCTTTACAATAGAAGCAACAACAATTTTTTTTTCTATTTTAGTTCGCTTTAGAAACAGCTAAGCTCATTAGTGACCATCGTTAATTTCCATCAGAGATACATTTTATAAATTGTAACTAACAAAAATATGAAGTACAATAATTCAGATCATTTTATCCAGACTACCAATATTAAGATATTTTAAAATTCATTTGCAACCTTCAGTTGAATTAAATATTTTATTTATATCCTTTTTGATTCCAAGAGAGCATTTTAGATTTTCGAGGCTTTAAGGCATTCAAGGACAATATGAGAGGTTGATAACTTTCTTTCACATTCTGGACTGGTGGCCAAGTCCATTCTTTTTATTAGATGGGAGTGGGTGAGAGAACAATGGATAATTGTTAATCTTGTGACTACAATTGTTATTTTTTTTTTTAATGTAGTGTTCAGAATATCTGAGTCTGTTACCGATTTTCATACAACATGGAGTTTTGATATTGAAGATTTCTGCTGGTGATCCCATACCTAAATAAAACTCTTTTTAAAGTTCTTATGAAGTCATTTAAAAAACCATGAATATGCTGGTCAATGTTCAATAAACGAGTTGTGTTTTTAGCTGTTTGGTCAGTTTTTTAATTTCCATTAGAATGACTGGAAACCATGTGGAAAAGAAGCCATGACAGTACAATGCTAAAACCTGTTTTTTTCTTTTTTGTAAAGAATATTTTGGATGTTTTGAATGATTATATTATTGGAGAATCTATTTTGGATAACTCTGAGTGTTGACATGATGTCAGGAAAAATGGAAATGTGGGTGTTGTCTACATTTTGGGTGCTGTATTCAATGGCTTTGAAGACAGCCTAGGCCTCATATAAAAATAGAGAGGAAAGCTGGAAGACGGCATGATATAATGTTTGAAGATGTCACATATTAATCTAGATGTTACAAAATACAGAATTATTTAATAACACATAGCACAACACAAAAATGGGCCATACATTTGTTATTCAAACACAATTCTGCCCTTAACAAAAATTTCATTACAAGACAAGATTTAAAAAGAAAATAAACATGAACTAAATGAATGAAGTACAGTGTGCACCCATTGGAGGGGGGTGCGCACATGGGGCTTCATCCCCCAGAAGCCAATTACTCATATTCAAAAATATAGCTTTTACTAATTTTCTGTACTACCAAAAGCCATTTAATATTTCAATTGCTGAGCTTATAAATATTAACTACAAGGCAACAAATAAAAAGATACTTTATATTCAGCATAAATGAAAAATCATTTATAAGAAAACATCAAGTCGGCCGGACACTATACATGTAGTCCCCCCCCCACACACACACACACACACATCCTGGATCTGATCAATCTCTGCTCAACTAAATTATATAAACATAATTCAAATCTTTTTTTAGAAAACATCTATCAACATGATTTTTGTATGAATCAACTATTCTCCGCGACATTTCGACTTTGCGCTTATTTTTCACCCCACAACTTGCGCGTGCACATCGCTTTCTTTAGGAGGGAAAATGCGAGACGTGGCTGCAGGAGCGCCGGACTCTTCAGACCGGCAAGTTGCTCGTGCGGGCGCAATGGGCACATGGTTTAATCCAAATTGTTTTGCACTCCGATGGAAACTGCTTCTCTTGCCTGAAATCTTCTCTCGATATAAGGCTGCAACATTTTGATAATGCTTTAGAATGTAAAAGGCGTTCTGAGACCCTTCCAGTAAAAAAAAATTCGTAGAACTAGCTCTACAAAATAGTTTTTCTGCACGAAAAAAAAAATACTGAGACGAGCATGAAACCTTTTTCAAGATAATTATCTTATAATGAAAACCCTCTCTCTATAAAACAACATACGCAGTTAATAACTTCACAGTAAATATTTTAGTGAAATTTATTTTGATATTTCTTTAATTGCAGCTTCTCGTTAGTTAGTTAAAATGTATGTATTTTACTTTCTCAACTTACTTTATACGGAAAGCGTCGATTTTTCTACAGAAAAACACTTCTAGTCAGGCTCTCTCTTTCTCTTACTCTCTCTCTCTCTCTCTCTCTCTCTCTCTCTGTTTCTTTCTTTCTCTCTCTCTTTCTCTCTCTCTTTCTCTTTCTTTCTCTCTCTCTTTCTCTCTCTCTCTTTCTCTCTCTCTC